TCCCAGAATTTATAACTCCCTCTCCCCATCTATAAGGCAGGGGTAAAATAGGAATCTTAATTGGAGTTACTTTAAAAGACATGTAGATATCAGTTCTATATATGTTTCACTCTCTAAAAAAAGAAAAACATTTTATTTTGAGCAAAGCAGGAAATGGATTGCTGACTGGCTGAGAACAGATAAATTAAAATTTAAGGAAGGAAACAAATAAATAAGTAAATACATAAATAACTCACCTCTAATCCTCTTTATTATATAACAAATAGACCAAACAATTTATCCTTGATATGTCTTATTGTTTATTTTTTTAACATATAAAGTATATTCAAATATATCACAGTTTTCAGGATTATACTACATTGATATCTAGGCTATTTAGTATAATTGAAATCCTTATAAGCTCCATTAATACCTTACTTTTTTTTTAATATCTTCTTTTTTCTTCGAGATTTTTTTCATGGTGGTTCTTTCATTTCCACTTTCTAAATACATAAAAAATAGTCTTAAGAATGATAAAGCATATTACTGAAAGAAAACAACTATTATGATATTTGAGATAAAAGTGTTATTTAAATTTTTTAATTTAACTGCAAATTAAGTAAATATGCTCTTATCTTTAGTATACAGTAGTTGATCACCTTTAATACTTATTAGAAATTCTGATTAATGCAATAAGACATGTAAAAGAAGAGGTATAACTATTGGAAAGGAGAAGACAAAAATTCTTGTCTATAGAGAATAAATGTTTAACTATAGTACATTTACACAATGGAATTCTATGCAGCAGGAAGAAAGGAGGAGCTCCTACCCTTTACAACAGCATGGATGGAACTGGAGAGCATTATGCTAAGTGAAATAAGCCAGGTGGCAAAAGACAAATACCATATGATCTCACCTTTACCAGGAACCTAATCAACAAAATGAACAAGGAAGCAAAATATAACCAAAGACACTGAAGTTGAGAGCAGGCAGTGACCAGAAAGGTGTGGGGAGGGGATAAAGGGGGAAAGGAGTGAGGGGTTTGCAGGAGCAATTATAAAGGACACTTGGACAATAACAAGATGGGGTGGAGAAGGGGGAGGGAGGTGGGGAGGGCTGGGGTAGTGGGGAGGGATGGGGAAAAGGCAGAACACTGTACTTGAACAGCAATGAAAAAATGTTAAAAAAAGTTTTTATATATAGAAAACCCAACATACTCAGAGAAAAAAACTTAGACATAATTAAAAAGTTGTTAAGCGGCAGAATAAAAGAATATATGTCAAAGTTAATAGCTTCCCCATATGCTAACAGAAAAAATAGCAAGGAATGACTTCAATTAAAATATGTGGCACCTACTCAAGATCTAATTAAAACATAATCCCGGAAGGCCGGGAGGCTGGTTAAGAGGCTATCTTAACATTCCTGACAAGAGATGCTGAAGATCTGAATCAAAAAATGAAAATGGAAATGGAGGGTAGAGAAAGATACATTTATTACTAGAATTAGAATTTATATCTCACATTGTAAGGTATTAAAATATCAAATCACTATACTTTTCACCTGAAACTAATATAACTAATATAATATTGCATACCAACAATACTTAAATTAAAAAATTTAAAACAGATAATCATGTGATATTTTATAACCCACTTATCCTATTAATCTATTTTTAATGCATTAATTTTATAATTTCTTAAATTACAAAAGAAAACAGGAGGCAGAATTCACAGGATTTAGTGAGTAATTACACATGCAGAATAAAGCAGGGGAAGAATCAAAGACTCCTAGTTTTTTGGGTTGGGTAACTGAGAGGTAACCTCATTTCAATATTGTCAAAGTATAAAGGTGTTGGGGTAGGAATAATGACTTCAGTTTTCCAGTGTTGCTTATGAGTACTTATGAGATGTTCAGGTGAGAGATCCAGAAGGTAGTTAAAAATACTGAACAGAAAAGAATCATGTCTAAGTTAGCTAAATTCTTTGTTTAGTCTGTTAAAAAAAGGCATTTAAGAGATTGATTTAATGACTTTTTAAAAGAATCAACCCTTTTTAAGATTTTTCCTACCAATATACAAAGCTTAGACACAACAGGAATAGGATGCTAGGAAAAGAGAATTTTGAATTTACTTTCCATTCTGTGAGAATGTCAAAAAGAAACTTAAAATCAATACCTGGCTTACTGATGCCTACACCTATAAATTTCATCTGCTAAGCTACAAAAAACATTAGCAGTGGTAATCCAATAGTTACATTATGATAAATTTTCAAATAAAAACCTTGTTGTAGCAGAAATTATTAACAAATATTTTTTACATACCTGGAGATGTTTCTAGCCTTGTTCATTTATCATTCCATAAATGATAAAAGATAAATGATTATAAACAAAATATTAGATAAAAGTGAAGATGTAGATGAAAATTACACTTGCTCTATTGAAAAATCTCATGTGGAAGTAAGGAAAAATTGTAACTCATACTTTCACCTTCTTACAGCAATTCAACTTTGTGTTAAAAAACTCACTCCAACAGTTAAATCTAATCTTATCTTCAAGGCTATTGCTAATTTACAATTCTTGCATTTAAAACTTTGTCTAAGAGATACAAAAATTGAGGATTAGCTATTTTTGTATCAAAGGACCTGAAAGTCCATAGTGAAAGCCTGAAAATTAAAAGTCAAGTAGTTCATTCAGCACTTTCTTGCTTAGCATTTAAAAATCTCTGGATTCTGAAAATTAATCCAGCAGTGCCTTTATCACTATGGATATTCCTCAAATGAAAATTCCTAAAGCCTATTTTATTTTGTGTGTAAATTTAGTATTCAGTTACCTTAATTACTTCAGTCAGATGCCATTTGGTTTCAGGAGTGTTAGCAGAATAAAGTCATAGAAAAATCTCTAGAGTATTAAATGGTCACAAAATGCATATTCTGGTATATAGTACTATCTCTTTGGTTAATTATCAGCTAACTAAAAATCTGTTTTTCCCCAGATGATGGAACTCTTTCCAAGTGTATTAATCCAGTTTCCTTCCTTAACAGAATTGAATTTAGTCCAAAATCCAATTTTATGAATCCTTTCTGAACTCCCTTACAGTAGTGCCTATCAAATCATGCTCTTTCCAGACTTATTTATTTGAACTGGGATGCAAAAATTCAAAGTCTCACTCAAAGTTATGCTAAAATTAAGGTAATGAATACCCCTCTGTCAAAATCAAAATTTATTAAATACATGGCATCAGCTACCTTTTACTGGTACTAGGGTATGGAAAATATGAAATTTAACAAAAAAAATTCTAGTTAAGTGTGACACAGCATTATTTCAGAGTGTTCTACAAAAAGTATCATTATTTCCAGGTGTTCCATTACCTGACAAGTTTAAAAAATAATACCTTTCATTAACTGTGATCTTATTGTCTAAAATAAAAAAACTAGGGACAAGTGGCCTGACAATGGATTTGCTGATGTGTGAATTTATATGTAAGTCAATCTAAACTAAATGGAAAACTAAAGGCAGTAAAACTAAACAATCCACTGTGGTCAGTACTAAGCCCCCAAACCATCACAACTCACTCCTACAGGTCAAGAAAGATTTGGGCCATTTCCCTTGAGACTTCAGGTACATAAAAATAAATAAATACCAAAACAGTTTACAAAAACCACAGTATCTTTTCAAAGTTTACCTCTAACACACAAATGCAATGTAATTTTGTTACCTACCATGACTGGATATATAAAACTACTAATTCATAGAGCAACAGTAGCCATGAGGTCCAGAAACTGGACACAATTAAGTTCTATAATGTTGGTTTTATTTAAACTTGAAGATGTATGTCTGGGCCTGTACTTATAGTCTCCTTTAGAGAGAAACTCAAAACGAAGGCCCTTGCTGAAAGCGAGGCCTTAGGAGGCCCTCATGTCCACTGCACCACCTAAGCAAGCCCTCTTCATCACTCTCCAACATAAACTTTCGATTACAGCCAGGTCAAACTCTTCTTCATACACCTTTACCGCCTCCACCCTTTGATTTTTTCCAACTATCCCCTAACAGACAGCATTACACATTTCCAAGCCTGATTCAATCCCATGTGTTCCAGGAAGTCCCGCCCACCCATCCCAATTTTGGCTCTTCTGTGACCTCCAATAGCACTTCTAATTCTTAATTTTTGTTCATTACATCTCATCTTGCAAGTCCATCTTTCTGCTTACCCTAAAGTGAGGAGGACAGCTGGAGTGAACACTCACCTACCCTCCACCAACCCTGGCAAGGTGTTCAACGCACAGTAGACACTCAATAAGTAAAATGGTTCAGATATAATCTCACATATGTGTAATCTAACGAACAAAATAAACTGACGAACAAAATAGAATCAGAGGCATGGACACGTGGAACAGACTGACAGCTGTCTGAGGGGGTAGCGGGGAGTGGAAGAGAGAAGATAAAGGGATAAGCCAGAGAACACAGATGCATAACTCATAGATGCAGACAACAGTGTGGCGAAGGCAAGAGGGATAGGGTGGAGGAATGGGTGGAGGCAGGCAAAGGGGAAGAAATGGGGACATCTGTATTACTGTCAACAATAAAAATAAAGAAAAAAAAACAAAATAAAATAAAAGTTAAATTAAAATAAAATGGCCCAGGATTTGATGCAATAGAACGGTCAGAACCTGGAGACTACAAGTCCCAGAGGCCCGTGCGGGTCTGACCTCCCCCACCTGGACCCCCGCTGGTTTTGTTGTTTGTTTGTTTGTTTGTTTACAGGACTGGACTCCAGACAAAATTCTGGAAAGTCTGACAGAAAAGGGTTGGGGGCCTTTAACCGGCAGTAGGACGTCCACCTGGACGAACCGGGCACTTTTGCGACGACAGGCCGCACCATTTACCGCACACTAGAAGTCACCAACCGTCCTCCGGCGCTCCGGACCAGTTCCTCCTACGCCCCGCTGCCCGCTTCGCGCCCGCGGCTCTCGGCCTGACGTCCAGGCGGCCAAGGAGCATGCGTGATGCGAGGTGTCAGCCAACCCAGTCCCGAGCGTCCGTCTTGTCTGTGCGCTACGTCCGTTCACACGCTTCCTGGGTTTGTAACTGGAATTGAAGCGCCAGCGTCCGTCACTGCTATCAATGCCTCAGTGCAACGCGCCTGGGGGGGGAATCTCGGCACCGTTCGCCCGCCAACTCGGTGTGTGCCCTAGTGGCTACAGCTGTCCCGAAGTCTGTTCTGGAAAAGGCCTGAGAGGGGTGTGGCCTAGGTCGTGGGAGCCCCGCATCTCTCGCGTCCTGGTGAAGAAGAATAGTGTCCCCAAAGGGTGAGTACTGGCCGTGAGCTCCCCGGCCGGAGGCGGATCCCCGGCTACCACTGGAGCCCCCGGCTGAGCCGACATTCCCGAGAGAGGACGCTTCCGAGCCCGCTGTGTGCAAGCGGTCGCTCGCGCCGTCGACCTGCGCTCGGTAGCCTCCGGGGGCCGAGCAGGGGCCGGGGCGCCGAGGCGCTGGTGGCGTGGGTGGCCACCTGCCACCTACCTTCCGGCGTGGAACAGCGGGGTCATTTGATTTAAAGTGCGGTGCAGCATGTGGCCTCCCCAAGAGCTCCCTAGATATGCTATAGCTTTTTGCTTTTTTCTTTCCGGAGTTTGCTATTCGGGTAAACAATTCAATACTTTCCAAGTTCTAAAAAAGGGAATGCCAGATCTGCTCGCTCGTGTCATGTCATCTTCGTTTTATAAACGAAACTGCTCACATTTGTTTATTTTCCCAGTAACTTACCCTGAGGTAGATAAATGTTTTGTGGTTTGAAACTTGACCTGAGAAACTCTAGCAGGGATGAAGTTCGGTTAACTTGAAGAGTGGAAAGCAGCAAAGTAGTGTTACGGATGTTTTCATTCATTCACACATTTGATAGATGTTTGTTAACGGTGTGTGTGTGTGTGTGTGTGTGTGCGCATGCGTCAGGCGTTGTGCTTCGCGTTTCAATTCTAGAGAAACTTAGTGTGTTTAAAACTTCTGACAATCCTATGCATTTGGAAAAGGGGAGCTGTGGAAGAAATTGTGTGAAGAAATTGCTGCAAAAATATAGTAATGTTCCAGATCATGTGGGTACATTGTGGCATTAGTAGAAATAGAACTCAGAAGTTCTACCTTATCATCTGAAATAATTGCAGACCATTAAATGTATCCAAGCTGGAAATCATTTGGCCAGATCCTCATTCTCAATAAAATTCTTGCTGGGTTTCCCATGTTCATTTTATAGGGCTCTTCTGGTATAGGAATGGAGGGACAATGACAGAGCTTTTCTGTCACGAAGCCAGAGTCTGCCTCAGGAAGGCCAGCTGAAGCTGTGCGTAGGGATGAGGGGAAAGTCCCTGAATCCTGATTCTTGCCAAACATTGGGTAAATTTAAACTGGGGCCTGGCTTTCTAATAAATATTCAGAGTTGTTTATATTTCTGAACAGTATTCTATAAACATACTATTTGGAGATTAAAATACTGCCTTATGTTCTAAATTCTTTTTTTTAAGATTATACTTATTTTTAGAGAGACGGGAAGGGAGGGAGAAAGAAAAAGAGAAACACTGGTGTGGGGGAGAAACGTCGATTGGTTGCCTCTTGCACACACCCTAACTGGGGACCAGCTGCAACCCAGGCATGTGCCCTGACCAGGAATCAAACAGGTGACCCTTTGCTTTGCAGATCAACACTTGACCAACTGAGCCATGCTGGTCAGGGTCAGGGGTACCCTTTAGTTCTCCTTTGAAACTTAATTACCTTATATGAATCTCTCAAGATTTTAAGCTTTAATTTTATTTTCTGAAAGTACCTATTAATGACAGAAGAGTATAAACATCATTTATCTTTTTATTCTGAGATTCATTAATTGCCTGAGTCTTTTAGGATTGTTTTATTTTTTCAATAGTATAATTACCAAAACTAACACTGATGCTTAACCTCAATAACCAAATAAAGTCCCAAAGTCTCTGATAGCTTGGCACTGGAACAGTATCATGTGAGCTTCACTTAAGATCCAGAAATAAGTACATCCCACCCTGTCTGTAGTTTCTATCATACTTGGTAACCACCCAAATAATTTCACAGAGCCTCATCCCCACACTTTCTCCATCTGTTGATCATCTCATGATCAGCCTTCCAGAGATTTTAACTTTTTCTCTGGACTCCCCCATATGTGATATAAATAAAACTCCTTTATATCTTCTTCTTCTCACAGAACATTTCTCCTTGTGATGTTTGGAACCTGGCTGTCTCTTAAGTACGCTGTGTTCCCAGCAGCTCACCACAGAAAGTGATGCCCCACATACCACAGGTGGCATCAGCATTGTCCATCTTTGGTAGGCCATACCATTCCACCCTTGTAAAACCTAATAGAAATTCTTCTCTAATTATGCCTTTTATCTTTTCTCTTCACTGCCATTTATCCGCTTCCTGGTCACTCCTTCACATTCATTGAGGAATTTAGAACCCAACTCAGTCTTTATTATTCAGTTCCTGCAAGACCATGGTGGCACTAAAGCAGTCATGCCTCACAGGCCCGGCACCCCAAATTCCCTCAATGCCATAACTGACTGTCTGCAGGACCATAATTCCTAAGGCTGTTCCATATTAATATGCTAAATTCTAGCATTCTCTTCACATCCTACTGTTCCTTCATCTCTCCCTCTTCCTTATTTTTCAATACTTATAAAACCCTGTCCCTTGACTACCATTTCATCAGCAGAAGCCTCCACCTAGATTAACTTTTTTCCTTGTCTAGCCACACTGCTTGGTTCATTCACGCACACCAGTATCCCAAATTTGCTTGCCTTGTCTTTCTCCCACTTTCATCCAGGATACTTTCTACTCTAGTTCAGTTTAGCCATGTGCTTTTCACCTCATTATATGTAAAGGTAACTTATTCTCCTGGCAGGATGAAGAGGGTCCTATAAAATATATCCTACTTCCTTTCATGCAAGGTGCATCCTTCTGTACAATTAAACACCTTATCTGTTTACTTTTACCACTTTTACCATGTTGCATCATACAATCATTCTGCTCACCTTCACTATTTGACAGTTGGTAAGAGTACATTTACTTCTTTTGCACAATGCCCACCGTAGAGATTTCTCTAAATCCTTTTCTATCTATGATTATAATTAATACATTTCTGCAAAATTGGCAAAATGATGATCATTAAGTTCGGTAATGGGCACATGGATGTGTATTCTATTACTCTACATTTGGTTGTATTTGAAGATTCTAATAATAAAAAAGTTAAAAATAACTTGTTTCTTTTGTATTATTATTAGACTGGTCTGTCCAGAAGATAGTTGAAGAATACATCCTTCAAGTGGATTTAACTGAAGGAAACAGAGCAGATTCACAGCAAATTCTTCACAGGGACTTTCTTCTACATGTGTATTTCAAGGAGATGGTTTAGTTGACTACTATAGAGGTAAAAATTCTAGAGATATGGAACATAACAAACAGTCCTATTTTTAAACTACTGATTACAATTATGGTATGCCTATAGGTAGCAGAGCTGAACAGAAAAAGAATATTATAATTTACTGTCAAGAAAAGACTGCAATTAGTGCTGAGTAGTTCACTTTAAAAACTGCCCACTATTTATTTATATCTGCCCTTGTTTTTGCAATTGCTGAATAAAAATCATTTCATAATAAAAAATTCAGTCATGTGTCAAAAGGTAACTTGTGTTATTACAAAATCAGCCATCTATATCTTTCCATTTTTTGTGAGAGTATTTATAAATATAAGGAAACTAACAATGTGGAATACATATAATTGTTGCTTTAAACACTAGACATTTATTTATCAAGGCTCTATTTTTAGTTTTATATGCTAATGGTTGCATTTCTGGTTGCAAAAAACTAATTTTCTATTATTTACTTATCTTACAAATAATTGTGTACATATAGCAGGAACTTGAGCTTCAACTTGTTTGGTTAAACTGCAAAATCATAGTGTTTTAAAACCTAAATACTAAGTTCCTGAAGAATACTAGCTCTTTTACCCCTGAGAGAGTGACAGAAGGACAGATTCATCACAGACAGAAAAAAGAAAGCAGCTGAAGAGTAGGGGCAGGGCAGAAAAGCTGGGTGAAATCCCTTTGAGGCCTCTCATGTGTCCACTGAGTGTGAGGCAGTAGTGTCCCAAAGGCAGAAGACAGGGCAGACAAATCTTAGGATGTACAGAAAACTGACAAAAGAAGAAACACTTGAGGATTGTTGTGTAAGAGAAGGAGTAAGCTTTGTTAAGTGGCACTTGAGCTGGCCCACAGTGGAATGGGTTGCCAAAACAAGCACAGCAGGGAGTATATGACCACTTACCTGGAATGGTACAGTAGTTGAGATCTTTGACGCCCAAAGATCCCTGGATGGCAGTACTGGCATTACCTGGCAGTTAGAAATGTAGACCTCAGCTTCATGCCAGACCTACTAAGCCATTTTTTATTAATTAAAATTTAATACTTTTTATTTCAATGAGATCCCTGGGTAAGTCCTATACATGTTAAATATTGATTAGGGTGACTTACTAAAGTGTGTTCTGATCCTTAAAATTCTACTTTAATATGTATAATCAAGAGCTGAGTGGTTAGCCATACAGAAACTGAACGTATGGTCCAAGAAGGAAAATTCAATGTGGGTAATCAAAGAAGGCTTCATTGAGGAATCAGGAGTTGAGCTGGGCCTTAAAAGCTAGAGGAAGAGGATGAACACATCCAGAGAAAATTTAAATAAGGATATTAAAGCAGAAGCAGTGGTATGGACCAGCCCTCTGGCAGTGGACAGGGAGATTAACTAGGACTTTTACCTGGTTCCTCCTAAAATGCCCTGAGTCCAACTTTTCAGAATGAAATAGGTCACATATTTATTTTATCCTCAAGGAGCATAACCCAGACACTGAGTAGAATGGTCTGAGTGTCCTACTAAAGATACAGATAAAGGGCTGTAGTAGCAAAGGAAAAAAGCAGCTTATTCAGAGTTGGAGATTTGGAGAACACTTCTATGAAGGAGCATTTAAACTGATCTTTGAAGGTAGAGTGGGGACAAAAGTATTTGAGCAAATAAACTGAACAGTGTCAGGTGAAGAATCAGGCATGGATCGAAAGACTTAAATGTCTGTTGGAGAGTTTCACCTTATTTGTAGGCAACAGAAAGCCACCAACAGTTTCAGTTGGGGAACAATGTGATTGGGCCTGCTTTTTATAGAGATTAATCTGGCAGTAATAGATTGGTGACAAGACCATCATTCCTGGTATCAGGTCTCTACTGAGGTGGTAACAATAAGATTGGAAAGGGGAATCAAAATTTAAAATGTTGCAAAGGCAAAATGGGCAGGTCCTATTGACGTTGGTTCTGATCTTGGTTACTTAAGGCAATGATGCTATTAATCATGATAAAATGCAGGAAGAGGGACAGATTTAGGAGGAAAGTAGAGTTCAGTTTAGGTAATCCTAAATATACTCTATTCCCTGTCTAACTCCCAAGACTTTCCTCCCTTTCACATTTTTAGGAGTTAGATTGTTCCTTAGGTGACTGGATCTCACTCGTGAATGACTAATCATTCGCTGGTGAGCTTTGCTATTCAACAAATACGCAAAAGGGACCTAAAAACAAAAAGTCAGCTCAGGTGTTCATGATGCCATGAGTGTATCATAAATTTAAATTTAGAAATTTACTTAAAATAAAAAATGCAAAAGATAAAGCAATGATTTTATCACATATACAGTCTTAAATGCCACTTTTCTAAAAAGAAGGCTTGTGGAGACACTTCTTTCCCCATTATTAAAAAATCCATTATAACTGTGATAAAACAGGTTGTGTTCAGTTTATTAGACTTGTACAAATAAAAACTTAGGTAGTTAACTATACATGGTCCTAAGCAGATAAAATAAGGACAATAAATAGATGCATGGTCTCTTAGAAAACCTACCAGTTTAGAATGGGAGGCTAATTTGGGAGCTTCCAGAGCACCCTGGTTAAGGCTGTGGAAAGAAGTTGCAGATTGATGACATCTTGGAAGTAATGACATGTTTTTAAAAGAAGATTCCATGGAAAGATAAGTAGATTGTAATTTACAGAAAAACATACTTTACATTTTAGTTCATTGAAACCTGGGCCTAATGCTTCACTCCTTCTCTGTTAGAATTAATTATTCATGTCCTTTGCCCTATGACTTTGCCATTCTTCACAGTGTTTTTCCAATTTGCTACTATGGAGCTTGGTCATATGACTTGAAGTTTTGGTCAATAGAATGTAGATGGAAGGGACAGGCTGCCCTAGCCATTGTCTTATGGCCAGGTACTCTATGTTTCCTCTCACTCTCTTGTGCCCCTGCCATTCAGCATGAGAACATGACTCAGGAAACCACCACACAAGGATAATAATGTGAGACACATACAGCAGGCTTGAACTTACTGCCTGAAGCAGAGCTATCCAGCTGAACTGCAGACCCATGAACAAGAAAATCAGTGTTTGGTATGGTAAGCCACTGAAACTTTGAGGTTGTTATCATTAATTAAAAAAAACTGAAGCATATCAGTAATGAGCATAGTTGACTAGGAACAACTATCATGTTCAAACAAGATACCAGTGATTAGAACCTGAATCAGAGAGGGACCAGACCAGTGTGGATGAAATTCGGCTTATCTTTTAAACTGACAATAAAAAGAACATACTTTAATAGTGATTTTATGATTTTATGGTAAATTTTGTGAGCTATAAAGAGGCTTATCTTTATTTTAATATTCAAATATACATTTTGACTATAAAATATAAGCATCAAAATTACTTGTATTATTTTTGAATCCAGATTGAATTTTCCAAAGGTTGGGCATGTCGGCCTGAATAACAAGCATCTCTGCCTTCACAAAAAAAAGGCAACAAAACCTGAGGAATAAAGTGAAATACACAGCTGAAATCTTAAAAACTTGTTTAAGAATAATGTTAAATTTCATATGTAATAAATAATATCAAGAAGGTTATAGCATCTGTACCTGTTTTTTAAAAAGTCTTCCTTCAAGAGAAAGACAAAAGATTATTGCCTGTATCCTTTTGGCTTTATAGTTTTTAGACTACTGTGCTATTCAGTATAGTAGCCCCTGGTCACATATGACCTTGAGCATTTGAAATCTAGTAATCCTGATTAAGCTGTGCAGTAAGTATAATATACACACAATAGGTTTCAAAAGCTTAATGTGAAAAAAATAAACATCTCATTAATATTTATAACTACATGTTAAAGTGTTCATATTTTGCATATAGTTACTTTATTAAACTCTCCATAGTAACCCAGTTTGATTGTGGCATATTTTTCTTACAGAGGTCTTGATTGATACAATATTAAAATGAAGTATTCTTTTTAAAAACTTTTATTTATATCATATTTTATTTTCTTATTCAGGTGAAACTTTTATATTTCTCTCTGTCTCTCTCATACACACACATGCACACCCTAATTAACTTCAATGTTTTTAATCTACAGAAAAATAACCACTTCTAATTTTAATCCCTGTGGTTTCATAGACATAGAAAGTTTCCCCCTTTCTAAAGGAATGGGGTCACCAGAATCAAGTTTGGGTGAAAGTCCAAGAAGGAATGGTAATCATTTATGACCAGTGGGAAATCCAATATTAAAATTATTTGATAGTAATCTATTTTATTTGGCCTTCCTCATCCAGAATGGCCGACAGCAGTTTCCTTGATGTGCCTCAAAACCCTCTCTCTCTATAACAGATTAAGTTGTGCCTGCTGATGATTTGAGATTTGTAAGTGGAGTTTGGCTCCCAAATACCTTTAAGATTTTGGTAGGGGGCAGGAGGGGAGAGTCCAGGCAATAAGACAGAAAGAAAATAGCAAAAGATTTCAGTATTTACAAAAGGAAACTTGTGAATTCTAATTTCAGCTTGTGGAGGGGCAGCGTTTAGAAAACAAAAAGCCATAAACTTGGGGCAAAGACTTGAGTTTCAGTATCAGTTCTGCCATGTACTAGTTTCTGTGACCTCTGCTTGTAAAATGAAAATTACATTCTCATGGGTTTTTTAGGACCAGAATAGATAATGCACCTGACAGTGCTTTGTATATGCAGACATAAGTAAGAAAGGAGCTGCTGCTATTGGCTGTATTTATATGACCTTTTATTTCCATCATTATCATCAACTACTATTTACTTGATTCTGATTTTGATTATTTGATTTGATTTGATTCTGCTGTTCAGTGAGCAAGCCATATAATTAAGGAGCCAGGAGTTTGGGAATCATTGATAAGTATCATACATCATATACGTCACCATGCAAAGTATATGAACAGAATATCAGCATTGCCATGACAGCCTTTGTGAACTTAAAGCAATGTTAAATTCCAAGTCCATTAGGAAATAGGTCATGTGTTTATTTCCCTTTCCACCATGCCCTATATTCATGCATATTTAAGTGCATGCTTTGAAGTTATAAGGAGACTGTCTAGTAGGGTATTTGGGAGAGAAAATAATGGTTAAGTGCATGCCAGGCTTTAGCTCAGCCATTTGAGCAAGTAACTTGACCTTTCTTAGCCACACCTGCTGCTCCTACGAAGTGGAATGATAGTACCTACCTTCTTATTATTGTGAGGATTAAATGAGAAAATGAATGTAATGCACTTGGTCACAGAGCATAGTACACAACAAATGCTCAATAAATACTAGCTATAACAATATAGCTAACTACTATTAGAAAAAGGTTAAACATATCCTAATTTGGCTTCTTATTCCTTATCAAGGTACAACAAGTTCAGTTGTAGGTATCAGAGAAGAAAATGTTCCTGTCCAAAGCTCTATTACACTTATATTCATCTGGATATTGTAAAAAATGACTTGGTTATTCAAGAAATGTAGGGATATTTGGCCTCTAGTTTGTCGGAGAGCTTTTCCTTCTCCCCTGTACCCGCCCCACATCAGCTCAATAGTCACTCCCCAGATCTAGAGATGGAGAGCCTGGGGCAAGGTCAGAGTAACACATTGTCACTCCATCCTGCTCAAAAGGTAACTCTTAACAGCAATCCTTAAAGGAAGGGGGTACAGGGTCTCTTCATAGTTCCGTGACACGGCCCATAGCTGCCACTTCTCTCACAAAATATTCCATGGAATAAGTAAATAGAACCCATGCCTGTGTGACAGGAGTAGCATCAACACTTTCAGATCTGATTCCTGGCACATTTTGATGTATAAATATCATAACAGCAAAAAGGTATGGCACACTACATTAATGCAACTTTCTCCCTAAAGTAAACCCTGGGACAGTAAGATATGGCATGGCTTTCAAATTCAATAGTGTCTTCGTGGTGCACTTAGTATATTTGCCTATTAACTGAAAGGTTGGTGGGTTGAGCCTCCCCAGGAATGGTCTTGTCTCTAGCCAATTTCTTGGTGATGAAAATATTCTGCAGTTAGGTGGTGGTGATGGTTGAACAACACTGTGAGTGCAGTGCCACTGAATTGTACATGTTAAAACGGTGAATTTTATGCTATATGTATTTTACTACAATAAAAACAAAACCTTCAATAAATGCAGTGGAAGATGCACTTCCCAACCCAACTATATTTTTCTTCCCAGTATGTATACATCTATCATGTAATATATACCCTGATATCTGAATGCCTATATATACATCAGCTTTTTAGAAATCTGGTCTGGGTGTTCAACCCTGGAGCATTTTGGCATCACCCCGGAATGTGTGACCCATCCTTGTTTTGGCTTGGATTAAGTATAGTGTTAATTGGCACAAGCACATAAATTCCCTTGCAGGACTCTTTGGTCCTAGACATATTTGTCTAGTCTAGAAAATTCTCCCATGCAAAGGCAGGCTGGGAGTGGAATGTGTGTCTGTCCTCTCCAAAGGCACTGTATGGCTTTCTTAGTAAATGGGAAATAAGAGAGAAAGGGTCTGTAAGAATGCAGCTGAGATTCTTCTTTTAGCCAGCACAATTTCTTAGCACAGGAGTCAGAACTCTGTTCTTCTGGATGAAGCCAATATTGTTCTTTTATAAAGCAAAGATCATGAAAGGTGGCAGGTTTTTAAGACCTACATGAGCACAGAGTACAAAAAAGGATGGAGGGGCTACAGCTGGGAGAGACTCACAAAAGAGACAATATCCACCAAGAAGTCCTTGAGGCAGAAGGTGGTGATTACCTTCCAGGGAAAGGCTTCATTCAGCAAAACCAAAGAAGCTTTATACTGGTCAAGATTGGCCTTCATGAACAAGGAAGGATGATGACCTTGTACACCACTGTGGAGGAAAGTGCTCCCTGGACAAGTTTTTTTCTCACTCCAGCCAGCAGATTTCAGCTGCTCCTGCTATACCATGTCTTTCCAGAAACATGAAGGCTTGTGAAAGATAATCAAGCCAATGAGAACCACGGCAATCAGGATCAGAGAGAAGAGAACCATGAGGAAGACATAGGTGGAATGGGGGAGAGGTGTAGACATTGGCTGCTCAGCTGGGATCATGTTGGTCAGGTTCAGCATGTAGCCCAAAGTCCATCCCACATCAGTGTCCCGGATCTGCAAACAGTGAAGAAAATCTGTTGTTTCTGTTGAGTTTTCATGCAACCCCATTCATAACACTTAACCAGCCAGATGATAGAGAGCACCACATTCAGTTCTTTACAGAGATTACTTCTGTGTTCTAAACTGGGAATTTAGTTGTGGGGGAAAATGGAGCAGGAGTGAGTGATTATGGAGAATTTGGAGCCTCACTACTATATTCTCAAAATCCAGAGAGGATCTTTGTGACAGATTTCCCAATTCTCCCACGGAATTTAAAGAGAACTTAGGCTTTTGGAGAATTGCATTCCTCTTTCGTTGTGTGTGTGAATGTTGGGGGTCAGGGTGGGGAAGGGAGGTGGGAGGTGACAGAAAGCAGGCAAAGCATTAGGCATAATGATCTTTGTGAGGGCTGGAATCTCATCCATATAAAACCAGGACTTCTTTACGATTCAACTAGTGAAAATTGGAGAATCCCAGCAAATTTAGTCTTTATGGCAGTTGGAAGACAGCATATGCATGAGAAAGCGTTCTTATTAAATGATTAAAATATGCTCTGACCCTGCCTTGTTCCTAGAAACATTTTCAAGTTGCCTTACCATTTATGAATAATAAATAATTTTGGAAATACTTTTATTACATGAGTTATACATGGTCATGGTAGAAAAGTTACAAAGTATAGATAATCCTAAAAAAAGAAAACCACCTATACATCAACACTCAGAAGTTGCTGCTATTATTTTGTGATATATCCTTCCAGTCCTCTCTGTGAATTTTTTTTTCTTAACAAAAAATGGAATTAAATTGTATGTAGAATCACTCACTTAACAATACTTTGTAAGCAATATCCCATGTTTTTTTAAGGGATTTCAATAACATCATCACTGGCATGAACTGCCTTATGTCATTTTTATTCACCTTATCCATTATTTAGAAATCCCAGAAATGGAGTAAGTGGATAGAGTAAAGTGCATATTTTAGAGCTCTTAGCATATATTGCTAATACAGTCTCCCCAAAGTTTGTGCCAATTTACCTTCCAACCAATACCATATGGAAATCTTCCTCTCTCTTAACCCATTACCAATACTGGAATTAATCTCTAAAAAGCCTATTTCCTTTTATGGAGGAGAAGAACCTTATCTGACTGTGGTATGTCAAGGAAAGCTCCAGGACTAGAGTTATCATCCAGGGTTTAGAAATACTGGATTATTCATTGGAGTTCAAGTAATATAAATCACTTGTAGCCCTGGCTGGTGTAGCTCAGTGGATTGAGTGCGGGCTGCGAACCAAAGTGTCGCGGGTTTGATTCCCAGTCAGGGTACATGCCTGGGTTGCAGGCCATGACCCCCAGCAATTGCACATTGATATTTCTCTCTATCTCCCTCCCTTCCCTCTCTAAAAATAAATAAGTAAAATCTTTTTAAAAATAAATAAATCACTTGTAAATTTGATATAGATATGTCCTTCAAACAGACAAAATAAACTCTGATGGGACAGAAGGAAGATTGGGATATTAAAACAAGGAAAGATTTGCATTTGAATTATCCAAGGCTGCTACAAGTCCCCTACCTCAATTGTTTTCTTTTTGCTTGAAATCACCAAATTTAAAAAAGGGGTAGACTTTTTGCCATTATTGGGTATAGGCATAAAATGTAGAGAAATACTGTTCTTGATATTTTTCAAGTATGAGTTGCCTGTACATGAGCCTTGCTGCAGGTGTAAATGTTTCTCTTTGTTTAGATACCTGCAGGTGGCGCTATGATAAAGCATAGAAGTGAGGTTTCCCCTTTAAGGCTCCTGCTGAGCCTGGCTTCTCTAAGCAAAGACCTTCATTCACAGCCACTCATTGCTTTCTCCACACTGAGTTTTCAGATTGGTCAACCTTAAAGGTACAACCAACAAAGCCTTCACCCCTTATGAGAAACCATGATCATCCTTTCCTGATTCATGGAAGGGGTCTTCAGGATGGAAGTTGAAGTTAGCACACAGAATCACTGTGGCTCCTAAAATACCGTAACATTACTGTAACTTCTCACTTTTTTTGTTTTATGAGGAATTCGTCACTGTTATGTAAGCATAAAGGAGAGTCTGAGAATGCAGGAAGCTCTCCTTAGATAAGATATCTACAACTGGATGGTCAACAAACCCAGAAGGGTTTGGCACAAAATGCCAGTGTGGGTTAGAGGTGAAGTGGTAAAATAGGACATCAGGCCAAAACTTAAATCAGGTTGACTCCTGCCTCTTTCAAGCCCAAAGCTGCTTCAATCACAACAACCCAACCTCCCCGCAACCCAATAAGTACCTGGCCCATGAAATGAATAGTCTTCCAGTTATCAGGTGTGAAATGATAGCCCTCCTGAAGAAGAGAGATGATGTAAGTTCCGGAAAAGCAGTATTCACTCAGGTACTTCTCCTTCACATCACCAAAATTCATCTTCAGCTGAAAATAGTGAGGGAAATATCATACTTGTATAATGGGCAACTCTCCAAGATCTCTTTTTCAGTTGATCAAGAGATGGGGAAGCCCCAGCTCACATGGACCTGAAAGTTCACCTCTCCAGCAGGTTTTGGGAATGGTGCTGTGCTCCTTCAGTGGGTGCCAGGGCTTACAGAATATGTTTAGGGAACTTCTCCTCTAAGATTCTATGAGATGGTAATAAGTGCTCCAGGAAAAAAGTAATTTCTATTATCTAGTAGGTCAGAAACTTTCATCCCTGGTGAAACTTGAGTTTCACAGATTAGCATGTTAAAGGTGTGAAAACTTTTACACGAAAGAAACCCATTTTTGTACAATCAGTTTCCTATATGCTCTTGACCAGAGTTTTTGGTTCAGAGCCTCTATAAGCATCTTAAGGAAATAGTGTCATAAAGAGCCACTCAATTTAATCCCTAAACTAGCAGCATCAGCATCCCATAGGAGCTTGGTAGTCCTCATGCAGAACAGCCAACACAAAAGTGTAATCACATATATAGTCAAGTTTGAGAAACAGCTCTGGAACACGGTTTAGGAAGCATTTTGCTTAGGATTGCTAAAATTACCAACATCTCACCTTCTATTCTCTGTCCTTACTTTTTTTTTTTACATGTAAGTCATGCAAAGGGGTCTTTTTGGGTCCTTCATGTGTTTACCCTGCTCCTGAATGAAGGAATTAATAGCTACCTGCCAACCCTTGCCTTTACTTTGCCTAGTTGTGAATATATGCCAGATGCCCACAGCTGGCTCTGCTCCTCTTCTCCCCTCAAGATCAACAGGCCAGGACATCTCTAGTTCAGCTCAGAGTTCTTTCTACTGCCCTATTCCTCAGCCCTTGAGATAGGCATTCCCTCCTGTACACCTTAGGACGTGAGAGAGCTAGCATTTGTTAAGCATGTACTAGGAGTTATGCCAGATGTTTCATATGTAGGGCTTCCTGGTTACCTGCCTACCCCCCGTTTGCCCAGATTTCTCTTCCCTTACAAGGCAAGATGTCACCCCATCTCTAACCTTTAACTGCTAGCTGAAGTCTCTCACTTGGCTCCTGCCAGCCCTCAATCTCTGGAAAACTAATCCCACAACTAGCCTGAATTGTCCTGCTCTGATGGAATTCTTCAAATGACCCAGCTTGGAAACTTTTTATCACAGTCCTTGAAATTACTCTTTGATCACCTCCTTTGTATAGGATGTTCTCCTGAGACCTTGGTGTGACATCAGTTGACTTTGCCTGACTAGGTCCCTACCCCTTTCTTTCTGCACTCTGGTTTTCCTTTGCCAAAAGACCTCCTCTCTCATTTGATGTAGTCTTGGCAGGTGTGTCAAACAAAAAACCCCTAAGGGATACAAATTTCAAGAATCCACTGCCAACAACCCCATAGGTTCTTGAAGGCTTGCCTATCCCTTGGGGGAATGCCATTTTGGCCTAATTTCCTTGAACTCTTCAACATTCCTATGCCCCTCCTCCTTCTGGGAAACTGTACATTGGCTATGCAGTCTAGCCTGTTGAGGATTATTTATGATATTAGCCAACAATGTAGAAGCCAAAGGCATCTACCTGGTACATCAATCCAGACTTGATTGTGTTTTTTTTCCAATTCCAGTTGACACAGAATACTGTATTAGTTTCAGGTATACAACATAGTGATTAGACATCTATGTAATGTACAAAGTGATCACCCCAATAAATCAAGTACTGACCCTATACTTAATTATAATATTTTTGACTGTATTACCATGCTGTACTTTACGTTAAGACAATTTGTATTTCTAATCCCTTCACCTTTTACACCCCAGAATTGATCATGTTAATGCTTATGGATTCAAAACTATGTGCTCTCCAAATGGGATGAGAATTCACCCTCCTTTGTGTTTTATTTCCCCTGCCAAAGCAGGGATAGGCAGCACTATTACAGTAGGTATAAAGCATCTAGTCCACTTTTTGGCACATAAGATATGCTTAACAATTGTTAGCTCTCTGTCTGGCAAAGGTGTTTAGAAGGTTCATTCCCAGACTAAAGTCACACTGAGATAGCAGTTCTTCCTCATGTTGAGGATAGCAAGAAAAGAAGAAAAGAGTTAGCCTATAACATAACATTTGACAAAAAAAAATACCCCCAAACTGTTCTCTCCATACAAATGAACAGTGCGGTTAGAAAAAAATGAACACGGGTCAATAAAACCCATCTCAACATTCTAGGTTCTGGTGAGGGTCTGGGTCTCACCTACAGCTCCATTCCCCATCCACCCCATATTCCCATATCCCTGCCCCACCAAATGTTTCAGAATTTCTTCCAAATGCAGGCCTTTCTGACCTTGCTTCCAGGGTCTCAGCTCCTGAGCAATTCCTCACGTGACTTACCTGAGCAGACCTACAGGTCCACATACTGTAAGATTCCCAACTTAATGTAATCTGATGAAATAGGAAGTAGATGAGGGTAAAGAGAGAAAACCTGGCATGAGTTTTCACTCTGAACAAGAAGTAAGTTTTTTTCAAAGTGCAGCCTCAATCTACCTCCTTGGCAGCCATACATACACCTGATGTCAAGTTTCCTCAACTCCAAGATGTTCATCTTCCTCCACAGATCACCACCAATTGCAAAATGCTTCCCCTAAGTGTTTTGCAAACTGTAAGGTGCTAGGCCATATTTGAGCAGCTCTTTGGAAAAGTTCTGAGTCCTGGTGGGGTAGCTCAGTTGGTTGGAGCGTTGTCCCTGATATACCAAGGTTGTGCATTCTATCCCTGGTTAGGGCACATACAAGAAGCAACAAGTGAATGCATAAATGAGTGGGACAACCAACTGATGTTTCTCTGTCTCCCTCTCTCTCAAAATCAATCAATACATTAAAAAATTAAAAAGAAAAAAAGAGCCCTGGCTGGTGTAGCTCAGTGGATTGATTGAGTGTGAGCTGTGAATCAAAGAGTCACCAGTTCGATTCTCAGTCAGGGCACATGCTTGGGTTGTGGGCCAGGTCCCCAGTAGGGAACATGGGAGAGGCAACCACAGATGCTTCTCTCCCTCTCTCCTTCTCTTCCCCTCTCTCAAAAAAATAAATACAATCTTTTTTTAAAAGTTAAAAAAAAAGAAAAGCTCTAAATACCCTTCCTTCCTGTTTTAACTCAAAATACTTAGGGAGAATTCCAAACCTCCAGGATCTTGCACAACCTCCCTTCCCTCTTTGTCATTGCTGATGAGAACACATCCATTTTTAATTAATTGCATTTTTTCAGAATGAAAGCACCATTCACTTTTGCAACAGTGTCAATTTAAAACAGGTGCTAGATTCTAGGCGCTATTCCTAGAATCTAGGGGCCTAGATGATCTGTCTTTTTAACTGAGAGTAGACCCCATAGCTCTTTTTTTCTTGGAAACTTGCATCAAATAGCACCAAATCTTGAGTGACTCAGTGCCCCAGATAAGAAAAACATTTGTGTTTCAAATTTATGAGTAAGTAAGAGATATCTTGGACCTTGTAAGTGGAGAAAGGGTCTTAATACAATGATGTCTGTGGAAGGTTCTGTGAATTGCCCATCTTTCTTGCTAATAAAACTTTAATTTGGGTGTTTGGGGAGGGGAGTGGGTGACAATATGCCCAGATCCAGAAAGCAGCTCATGATGGATCTGAGGCTCTCAGCCAACCTTAAAATCCTGTACACTCTGTTCTCCCATCCAGTCCTGGCCAATGAAATATAAGAGAAACTGCTAAGGAGCTTCTGGGATTGTTTTTGCCTTCCTGTAAAAAGGAATAGATGTATCTGGTTCTAGCCTTCTTCTGACCTTGAACGTGGCTGTGATCCCTGAAGCTAGATCTTGTGTCCATGAAAAAATAGGCATAACAACAAAACAGAAGTAATGGCTGAGATAGAGTCAAGCTGCTGTTGACCCCAAGCCAGCAGCTGCCTACTGCCAGACTTCGCATTAGGTGAGGAACATGAGACCTTTTTTGCGTAAGCCATTGAATACCAAAGAAAATGTCGATGAACTCATTTCTGATTGCCCCATTTGAGCTTCCCTAACATGTTTACCGTATCTTGGTCAAATTAGTGCAACTTGAAGGGCAGATTCACATCCTCTGTGTTGTTAAGGGCACAGAACAATGGTAATAGCTGCTGTCTGTAGTCACTCACCTCTTTCCAAGGCCGAGAGCAGAAATTTTTTATCGTGTCAATCATCTTTTCCTGAGAGAGGGTTTCCTCTGATGTAAGGTTTAAAAACTTCATCACATAGTAATATGCTGAAAATGCCTGCAAGAGAGAAATGCAGAGTTTTGCAGTGTCCGGCACATAGGGACACTGACTCTCCAGGATGTCGTACCCCTTGTGAAGGTGCCTGGAAATCTCTGTTGAGTCAATTCACAGGATTTTTGATACTTCAGACCCTAGCAAGATGGATCACTTTGCTTCTGACACGCATTTCTGAGCCAGCTGGTAGCTAATTTTCTCAATAATGTTAATGGGAGAGTCAGGGAGAAAGATGGGTAAAAGAGAAGACAAAAAAGAGGAAGAGGTTACTAAAATCCCACCTTCAAAAAAACTATGTGTTTTATATAAATTTTTTATCAAATAAAAACTGGAAAATTCTATACTGGGGTATTAAAAGTTATATCCAAGTAGCAATTATGAGGTGTTTTTGTACTGCTTTCTTTAAATAGTCAATCTTTATTTAACAAATATTTATTGCAGATCTATCATGAATTAGGTACAACTGAAAGGTGTTTAAAAATCATTATTATAACATAAATGAGAACTATAGAAAAAGTTAAAAGTACAAATGAGTAAAAAAGGAGACATTTGATTAACATAACCTAAATTTTATCACTTAGAGACAACTAATATTAAATATGATATAGAAAAAACTAGATTTTACCTCCATTCTAATAATATATCTAATTTTTATCACACTTTATACCACCCTGTAACTTCCTTTTGTTATACCCATGGTATGTTTTTAGAGAGGAAAAACTAACTGAACAGAGCTTGCTAGATGAGGCAACTGAAACCCCAGCTCTAGTGCTTTTTCTCTTTCTTGCCCTAAGGATGTCAATTTTCAGGGGAAATCATTTTGTAGGTCATAAAAGCATGCCATCTGCTTATTTACCAAACACCCTAAGCTGTGTATGCTAGGCACTGGGCTGAACCACAGAGTCTACTGAGATTATTGGAAGGGAGTAAAGAGATTTCCCTGTGCTAGAAGTATCTAGATTAGGGATTATATTTTGTCTTCTGTAAAATTACTAAACTAGAAATGATTGTTGAAAGGATATGTGATTTTCAATCAAGCCAAGTGCATTCTGATGTAATTTTCATGGGCAAAAATACAGGAGGGCAAAGAACAGGAGTTATCAGGGATCCTACTGGGGGCTCAGTTCTAACTCAGAGAACAGGACAGCTCTCCTCTGTCAGACAAGTTCCTGCTGCAGTAGGTCTTATGCTTCAAGTCCAGCCAAAATAAGCCTAATGCCAGCTTCTTAACAATTGCATCATTAAAAAAAATTCTTATACATATATAACATCTTATTTTAAAAACATGAGTGTGTATGTATTTGTCCTTTGTAATAAGTTTTCTTTTTCATTTTTTTGGTTTGATTTTCTCCTCCATTTCTAGTTCCAACAGAAGCCACATTAACAACTTAATATGAAGCCTTCCATTTTCCTTCAATTGCTTGTATAATCATATACAAACATACATATATAAGGATTTGCTTTTTATATGAAATGTTAAACATTCTGCATCTTGTTTTTCTTACTCAACAATATTTTGTGGAACACTCCCAAGTCACCTGGAGACACTCTAAAGTCTACATAAGAGTCCATGGTGTAAATGTATCATAATTTTTCAACAACCCCCTCCTGGTGGGCATTCCCTCAATTCCAGTATTTTTGCCTATGAGCAATGCTGCTATAAATTCTCCTGCACACTTAGCCTCTGAATTTGTATGCTCATTCCTTTGGGGAAATGGAGCTCCGTAGGAGCTTAGAAAGACAGTTTCCACATCCCTGGAACTTGGGAATTCCAACACTCTAAATATCAGATGCTGGTTGCAGAACAAGATCTTGGTATGGTCCTCTTTCTACCATCTTAACCCAAGATACCATCATCTCTTATGTGGACACTGCAATGGCCTCTTATTTGATCTCTATGTTAGCTTTCTAGTGCTATTCTAATCCATCCTGCACAGGGCAGTTATGGAAATCTTTTAGAAACAAATTTGATAATATCACTCCTCTGCCTAGAGCCTTCAGTGATTCCTGATTATACCTAGACTAAAGTCCAGAATCTACCAAGTCTCTCAAGGACAGGTATGTTCTAAACCTTCCCACCTTGCTAATAGCATCTCATATTCTTTCCCACCTTGCCCACCACACCTCAGCCACCTTGGCCTTCAATCTCTGCCAAGTTTTTTTTTCTCTGGGATTGCATACTTGCTATTCCCTCTGCTAGAATTCCCTTGACTTCCATGCCTCTTCCTCAGAAAGATTTTCTAGTCATCTATCTAGACTAGTACCCTCTGTTATTCCCTTTCAAAGGACTCCATCTCTTTCTTCCCATCAATTACCACAGTCTGATTTGCTTTTGTTCATTGTGTTTCTAGTCTCTTATCTACCTGCATCTAGAATGGCAAGACCATATCTGTCTTATTCTCAACAGCACTGACATGGCACTTGGCACATGGAAGAGTCTATAAATGTTCAAGTGGCACATAACTGCTTTCCCTCTAGTTCCTAGAGCACTGCCTAGAATGTAAGAGATACCACCCAAAGCAGTCTATAGATTCAACACAATTCCTATCAAAACACCAATGGCATTTTTCATAGAACTACAACAAATAAATTAAAAATGTATGTGGAACTACAAAAGACCCTGAACAGCCACAGCAATCTTGAAAAAGAACAAACTTAGAGGTATCATACTACCTGATATATCAAACTATACTACAGGGCTACAGTAATCAAAACAGCATGGTACTGGCATAAAAACAGACACATAGATCAATGGAACACAATAGAGAGCCCAGAAATAAACCCATGGCTACATGGTCAATTAATATTTGACAAAGGAAGCAAGAACATACAATGGGTTAAAGACAGTCTATTCAATAAATGGTGGTGGGAAAATTAGACAGATAAATACAAAAAAAATGAAACTAGACTACCTTCTTATACCACACACAAGAATAAACTCAAAATGGATTAAAGATATATATTAGACTCAAAACCATAAAAATCCTAGAATAAAACACAGGCAATAAAATCTCAGACATTTTGTTCAACAATATATTTTTTTAAAGATTTTATTTATTTTATTTTTAGAGAGGGATGGGAGGGAGATAGAGAAAGAGAGAGAGAAACATCAATGTGCGGTTGCTGGGGGTTATGGCCTGCAAACCAGGCATGTACCCTGGCTGGGAATCGAACCTGGGAGACTTTGGTTCCCAGCCTGCGCTCAATCCACAGAGCTACGCCAGCCAGGTGTTCAACAATATTTTTTATATATCTTCTCAGGCAAGGGAAACAAAAGAAAAAAATTAAAAAATGGGACTACATCAAAATAAAATATTTTGTACAGAAAAGGAAACCATCAACAAAATGAAAAGATAACCCCTAAATGGAAGAAGGTATTTTCCAGTGATTCAATAAGGGGTTAAATCCAAAATGTACAAAGGACTCATACAACTCAACACCAGAAAAACAAATAATCCAATTAAAAAATGGGCAAAGGATCTGAACAGACACTTCTCATAAGAGGACATACAGATAGCCAATAGATGTATGAAAAGATGCTCAACATCACTAATCGTTAGAGAAATGCACATTCAAACTACAATCAAATATCACCTCACACCTGTTAGATGGCTATAATAAATAAATCAACAAACAAGTGTTGGTGGAGATATAGAGAAAAAAGAACCCTCATGCATTGTTGGAAAGCAGTATGGAGTTTCCTCAGAAAATTAAAAGTGGAACTGCCTTATGACCCAGTGATTTCACTTCTGACCACTTATCTAAAGAAACCCAAAATACTGATTCAAAAGAACATATGCAGCATTATTTTCAATACCCAAATTTTAAAGCAACCCAATACCCATCAGTAGATGAGTAGATAAAAAAAGTGGTGGTACATATATACAATGGAATATTGCTCAATCATAAAAAGAATGAAATCTTACCATTTGTGATGGCATGGATGGGCCTACAGAGTATTATACTAACTGAAATAAGTCAGTCACAGAAGACAAATACCATGTGATTTCACTTACATGTGGGTTCTAAAGAACAAAATAAATGAACAAACAAAACTGAAACAGACTCACTGATACAGAGAATAGACTCATGGTTCCCAGAGTGGAAGGGGATTGAGGGTCTGGGTGAGGAAAAGGTGAAGGGATTAAAAAGTACAAATGGGGCCCTGGCCGGGTGGCTCAGTTGGTTGGAGCATCCTTCTGTACACCAAAAGACTGCAGTTTCTATTCCCTGTCAGGGCACATACCTAGGTTGTGGGTTTGATCCCCAGTTGGGGTGCACACAGGAGGCAATCAATTGATGTTTCTCTTTCTCCCTCTCTGTCTCTCTTCCTCTCTCTCTAAAAATCAATAAACATACCCTTGAGTGAGGATTTTAAAAAGAAGTACAAATTGGTAGTTACAAAATAGGCATGGGGATGTAAAGTACAGCATAGGGAATATAGCCAGTAATATTGTAATAACTATGTATGGTGCCAGATGGGTACTGGAAATATCGGGGGAAACACTTTGTAAAGTATATGACTGCCTTACCATGTGCTATACACCAGAAACTGATACAAAATAATATTGAATGTAAATGGTAACTAAAATATTTTTTTTTAATTTAAAGAGACACTGAATCTCTGTTGACTGAGAGACTGGATTAATTCTGAGACTGGATAGCTATGTAGTACACAGCTAATGCCAGGAGAAGTTCCCTCTTATTTATTAAAACTATGTATGTTAAGAGTTAACTGATTGTGGAGCAGGAGAGAGGGGAAGATTTTTCTATTTTACTTTTAAAATTTTTATAGCACAAGAACCTTTAAAAAATTTTAGGTGTCTGATACAGCATTGTGAACTATTAGGACGATGTTATACAGCACATCTCTAGCACTCACTCATCATGTATAACGGAAACTTCATGCCTGTTAATAGCAATTTCCCATGTCCTCCTCTCCCTAGCCCCTGGCAACCACCCTTCTACTCTCTGATTCTATGAGTCTGATTATTTTAGATAAC